ATTATTCTAACAGCCAGAAAAATATTAATAGACTGTAAATCTTGTTATCATGTGCCTCATGCAATATTAGTGAGATAATAAATATGCAAAGAGACTTTTCTGAAATACTAACATAAAAGTAATGCCTGTGTTATAATAGGAGTTTAATAAGATTATGTGGAATAGCTATTCTCAATTATCTTTTGTCCTTGTATTTTCCAGTACCTGATGTCAATGTAATTACCATCTATTTGTTTAAATTTTGATTAAATCCCTAAGCATTTAATAATCCATCATTATAAATTTTTGCCTGGCGTCATTATACTAAATAAACATTTAGGTCAGATTTTTTTTATTTTAAAGTAGTAGTAATTTAAGTTATGCTTTTATATCCATAGTTATGCTTTTATATCCATATTTAAGCTTTAGATCAAAGTGCTGAATTTCAAAATTACTAAAAGTCAGGTAGCTCCCTTTGAAGGTCAACAATAAACTATTGAGCAATATTAACAGTTGGAAGGTTAGACCTAAAAGCTGTAAAGTACATTAACTGGACTAATTCTGTTCCTCAGCCCTCTTTTGATATTTGTGCTTTCTCCTAAACATTTGGAGTCTTACCATTTGTACATTTTCAAAAATCATTAAATATGTATAAAAAAGTACATTGTTCACATGTGTAAACCACTGGAAACCCCTTAACTCTCCATCTGCTGATTTCACAATGTTTTTTATTTAGCCAACATATACAGTCTGAGGGTCAGGGTGAGATTTTTCAAGGACACAAAATGCAATTTGGAGTTAACAGACAGCAAAATCTGGCAAACAGGTACCTAACTCTGGTACAGTTTTGCAAATCTTTTCCTTAAGGTTCTGCCATATGTTATAGATCTAAAGGAAATGAATAATGAAAAGCAGCCTTATACCATTATTCCTTTTTTATCCCACTAAATTAACTTTAAGAGTATTCTTAAAAGAAAGTAATCTTTTCCTAAAAACTATTTTATTAATCCTCTTCTAGTCTTGGGACATAAAACTGAAATAAGTTCAACTATCTTAAAGTACTGGCACTTGAATCTCTCCTGTCTTGTACAGAAAGTGAAACTACAACAACCAGGAAGGAAAAAAAATCTAGTAATTCCGGTGCATCAACTAGGCACCAGCTTTGGTTCTATCAAAATAACCTTGCTTTTTTATCATCACATCACACACATGCAGAGAAAGTTCAGCAGGAATGTAAGTCATGTGAAATAATGAACTTAATTAACACACAGAAAATAAAAGAACTACCCTGCAGATATGTATTTATAATGGAACCAGTCAGCAAATGAACAAGTATTCATAATGAAATTTTGTATGACTTCCTCTTGTCATTGGAGTCAGAAGTATGAAAACTGGGTAGGAACCAAGTATTATAAATCTTTATTCTAAAATTATTTTTTTTTTAAGTTTGTAAGAAACAAAGCACAAGTTATTTTTACAGCTCCACTGAGAACTCCAGCATCAGTCCCACTGCTGAGCATCCACATCCTGAAATTATGGAAACCCAGAAATGATCCAGCTCCATGATAGGGATCCCACCCTCACTCTGTTCAGGTGGTAACAATACTCTGCACGTTTCTGTCCAAAGGGCTCAGACCCAATGACACAAACGGATCCCTCAGGAGCACTCTGAGTGTGCTTTGCCACCTCACCACCAACTGCACGAGAGCAGCAGCTGGGCAACACCTTGGTGTACTTCTACCCTACAAAATCTGTCCAGTTTCTAGTGGGTTTAGGAGATGTGGTGGGAGGAGAGAGCCTCTACACCTGTGTGATTATATCAGCTGCATACGCAACAAATTCTTAGGTACATGACAGCTCCAGGGAAGAGTTTTCCACTTCAGAGCCTCTTCCCAGGGCCTGAACACCAACTCCCTGACAGTTTCTGGGAACCATAACAAGGCAGTTCACACCTTAGGAACACACACCCCAGCACAACGGCAGTAAAAGATCAGGAGGCCAAATTTCAGCTAACAACGATTATTGTATTTGAAAGTTCTTTTTAATAGATCACCTCTCAACAGAAGATGTTGTCCTCTTTATTATCTTTCTCCAAAAATTTTTCTATGGTAAACAATTAAGTTAAGAAAAGTAAATTATGGTTGTAGAATCACTTCAAAACCTGCTAAATCCGATATTCTTGGTGGGTGTGTGCTTGGCAGTTCACCCCTATATTGGGGTTTTTTTCATTGTGTTAAAACCAGAAAATCAGGAGGAATTGCTTTATTTTAAACAGAGGTGAGCACAGACATAGTGCCCCATATAAAGCAAGATGAACAGTTCTTTATGCCTGTGAATATATTGTGACAGGGCAACTTGCTGTAGCAATACAAATGCTAATTCATCTTTCATCCCCAAGTACATTATTAGGCATGACTAAAGAAAGTGATTCCACTTACAAACTTGAAAATAGTATTTAATAAGAGAGAATAACTTGCAACCATATCCACCAGGTGAGAAAACCCTGGACTGGGTTAAAGGCTGAAACATAAGTAACATTTAGAAGGTTATTTCCTCATAATTTGCTACAAATGCAGCTCTTGGTTCACATCCCTAAAAGGAAAAATAAAGAAGAATCTCCTAAAGCATAAATATTGGAGAGTAAATCTTTAAAGTCTGTTCTCACTGATTCGTAGTTCAGCCATTACTCAAATATGCAATACATAATGCTGATGAGTTAAACATCACATCACCCCTTTTGATTTATTTCTTTCAATTGTCTGGGAATTTTATTTATGTTTAGGACTATAAGGTGTTTTTTGGTGATGCCAATGGATTCAGTTCAGGGTTTGATAGTTGAGTGCTTAGATCATTACACAGCATTACAGTATACTGATTAGAATACCTATGGAATATCTAAGGACAAATCTAATAACGTACTAAGAAAAATGCCCAGAAGGGATCAGGTCTAGCCTAACCAAATGATACAGTTTCAGCATTGCTGAAGAGAATACCAGCAGTCTAAAAGGTGAACTCTTCCAGTTATTATTTTCTTTAAGTTGGTGCTTTTCTACAGTCAATAAAAACATTAATATAATTTTATTTCTCCCTTATATCATTTTTATGTACTAACACAATATTATCTATACTGTGCTCAAGACGTAGAAGGTGATGTTGGACAAATAAAAAGCACAAAAGGACTTTCTTTATGTGCTTTCTGAATTTCCAGAATATCTGAGCACAAAGAGCTCAGGCTGGTGCTGTATCACGTATCACTAATTCAAAGCACTTAATCCTGTCTTGCACACGTCGGCCAAAGCAATACAAATGCCAAAAAATTCCTCTTTGAGAGCAGAATTGTATACACTGTAGATTATATAAGCCTTCTGTCCCCCTCCACTTGAATGTACACTATCAAATCATCCTGGCCATTACTTTATATTGAGCAGATGGTATTATGAGATTTTGATAAAGAACAACAATCACCCAGCAAGGGTTGCAAAGAGGTCGCTGAAACCAAGATTAACAATTGATTAGCTTTAATGGACCGTGACAGTAATAAACAACACAGCTCCACACAAAGATTTGATTGTCCTGTTAATGCTGCTGACACAAATGGCTTTCAACTGCCTTCCTGAAAGTGTTAATATCGCCAGAGCCTCAGCAAACCAAGGACTTCCTCAAAGTGAGAACTGTCCTGCAGAGAAGAAGCACTTACTGTAGCCCTCTGAAAGATCTTCCATGAAGTGTGTTTCTGATTTATTCAGACAATAGCTCCTATTTCTCCAAGGCTTAAAGTTCAAAAAACCAAAATGCAGCACACCTCTGCAAGGCCGGAATGTGAGGGAACTCTAAAGCATCTGAATACAGAAGCCAGCGCTCATCAAATGTACAACAATAATGTGAATTATCATTTTCAGTGTGATCATTTTATCCTTACTCCACTGTGGGCTGATAGACCCCAGTATTACAGCCTTCTGAGCTCAATTATTTTATCCTAGGCTCTGATAAATTCACTCTGGTTTTTTTCCCTTTCTGCACAGAAATAAGTAATTTGTGTCATATTTTCATTAAATTAAAAGGTTTTGTGATTACTGGACATAACCATGGTAAAATCTGAAAACAGAACCTACAGATCTGTTTATTTCTTAGATACATGTATAGGAAAAAGTCTGTGGGAAAAGTCTGTTTCCCTTAACACTTAAGCCAAAAATTTAAATAGACTTACAGCAAATATTCACAGAAGGTTTTAAAATTACATCTAGGTAGAGACAAAGCAAACAAAACTCCACCTAACATGGCATTCAAGAAACTAAGGATATAGAAATTCATTAAAGGTAAGGAAGTACTTACTCGTTTAAGCATTGAGTAAGACTTGTTGTTAAACTTTCAATTTTAGGCTAAATTACTTGGGGGTTAAATTAATCTTTTTTTTTTAAAAAAAATTATGTGTCTTATTTAATCAAAGGCTTTTCTTTTAAACATTTTTAACTGTGAGTTGCCACAGTGGTGTCTTCCCCCCCCCCCCCCCCCCCCGCTGTGTTATTCCTAAAGGCAACACTCAACAGTGGTACAGCTCTAAGGATTTGTAGGTAAGAGAAAAAGCAGTGTCTGCTCTGGACACAGATCCAAACGTAAACCACTTGCACAAATCAAGGTCATACTAATCCCATCCCTGTGGGTCCCACCCCATCTGCAAATCCAAGTCTCTACAGAGCAGTTCCTTGCCAGTTCACTGCAGTGACGGAACATGCTGCTAATTACTGTGCTTAAAAACCTTGACCTCCGCAGAAATGCGAGGGAATTTAAATGAAACCTCTGAAAGAGTAAAATCCACCTGCCTGGTGTCCCAACACACATCCACTAAATATATAACCTGTCAAAAGACTGAGCCAGCCTTCATTAATTCCGTTTGCTGTAATCAGCATCTATTATTCACATGCTTGGCTTTCTATAGCAGCTCTTCAAGTAAGCTATTGTATAAACTCTTACATCAGAGTGTACTCTGATGATAAACATTCAAGAAAGTAATTATTAATTACCTGTAAGTCAGCATCAAATTCGTGTTTCAGGTAAGCATCTTCTGCAGCTTCAACAAGACGCTGAAAAAAGAAAAAAAAAAGTGTGTTTTTGAAATAACAGATAACATACTTATAACAGAGTTCTCCTGTATAAAAACAGAGATTCTTTGAGCATTGTGTAATTTATCTGCTATGACACTTTATTAAATAGAAATAAATTATCCAGATTTAGGAAAAAATAAAAACTGATCAAGCTTTTTAAACCCTTTTTAAACCATTACTGGTGGCATAAAATGCTCAAAACAACTCGACTATCAATAAACAGAGAAATAAAAATGTTATTTTTTCCAATAGTGCTCAGCATCCTGCAGCTCGTATTCCAAAACTGATTTTTTAAAGAACACAAAGTTGCTTTCACACTGGACCTTATTTCCACAGAGGAGCCCTTTTCAAATCTTACTTAACATTAGAATACGAGGCATTCCCTAATAATGCACTTGATTTCAAGAAACTGAAAAAATTAGACTTCAAAGATGAGATTAGAAAAATAGAGACTAGGTTTCTTTACTGAGCAGATTTGAAGTGTTTTTATATACTACCTTGGTGCATTCTCACAAGAAGATTATTCTGCAATTACAGAAGTAATATTTACTGAATGACAGCAATTCAGCAGTATTTTTAATAGTAATAAAAATACTTAATAATATCCTAAATTCTCTGTAGTAGTCACTGTTCCTTAACACTATCATCTTTGATGGGAAAAAAACATGATCAGACCAAAACACAGGTACCTGAAAAATCTAATTTACACAGGGGTTTGCTGCAGATATTCTCTTCTGAAATGACATTATATCCTTTTTAAGGTTTTACTCAGAATTCTTTATAGTTCAGATTATTTTAACTATGGAAGTACCTCCTTCCAGTTTTTATTTAATCTACTTGAACATTCATATACACAACCCAAAACTAAACAAGGAACAATTGTCACAAAATAGTCTATATATTACTTTTAATTTTCTTTGATCTATCAGACACTGGTACACGTGTATATTTTCAAATATTTTTGTATCACGAAGCAAGTGAGGTCCAGACTCTCACACACAGAGTGGGAAGCCATGCACGCATTTCTTCCCTTTTCGGAACGGTATTCACATTTATCGAGTCTTTGGATATAAATCAAAATTAAATCAGAGTTCATATTGATTGGTATACAGCTTGAGCTGTAATGGAAGGTGAACCAAGAAAAATATTTCTGGTTGCCAATGCAGAACAAATGGTTCAACAGAAAGCTGACAGATGGAAGCAGAGCCGCGGCGGTTACAGGCAGGGTTTGTGCGAGTCACAGCCTGTGCTCCCACTGCTCTGCCTCAGCTCCCGCCTCACCCACGGGACAGCACAACCCTCAGTCCTCTGCTGGGCTTCTGCATCCTCCCAACACATCCCAGTGGGGAGGCTTTTCATACCTCTTTCTTTGGTGCAGATTACACATCTCCAACACAAGATTAAAAACTTGAAACGCTCTTGATACCAACGTGAATAGAGGAAAGCAAGAGGGAGCAGGTGGATGCCACCTTCTCAGAGCCCTGTGCTGGGAGTACATCCCTGACATTTGACTGGTTCCACCTTTGAACATCTTGTTCCATGAAAACCCAGCTGGGTCACAGCAAACCCTTTTGACCTAAACTGGAATTGAACTGAAATGGTTCCAACGCTGGGCAAATCAAACCAGAACTGAACTGGCAAAATGCACCAGCTCACCTTCCCATGTACGGGGGTAAAAGAACCCAACAACAGGGATGCAGCACAACAGGCTGCGGGAGGGGAATCCATGGAAAAACATTCCAAATGAAACAGTGAAGTTCGGTGTAATCATTCCCACTACTTCTGGACCACCTGAATAGCAGTGAAAGCAGACCTCACAATGTGAAAGGGTAACAAACATTCGTTTGATCCACAACTTTTTTGTATTTAGAATCCAAAAAGGGAAATAACACAAATTAACTATTCTGAGGAGGAAGCCTCGGAGCAACTGAAACAGAGTTGTACACATTGGAATGCTCTCAGTCCATCTTTAGCAAGCTAGGGACCTGCTGAAAGGATTTTGCCAATACAGTCCTCATTTTTCAAGTATGAAAAAGGCATTTAATGTAAAATGACTACTTCAATTCATTCCTCCAGGTGTGTCCTCCTTTATATGAAAACTGTAGTTGCATTACTACTTTGTGCTTCTCTGATACAAAAGATCATGACTGATGAGTTTGAGAGGAAAAAAGCGAACGAAGAATCAAGAAAATTCTTCATACAGAAAAGAATACAAGGAAAAGAGAAACGTGTTTTTCTTTCTGTGCTGAAATATTTACTTACTCATCGAAAGAAAAATTATTACAGCATTTCATGAGATACCAGTGATATTAGATATTAGTACCTGGCAGGCTAGAAAAATAATTCATGGGTTTTTATATAGTTTGTATTGATTCCAATGTGTTTCAATTACATTTTTGCCTCAGTGAAATAAATTTAAACTAAGATTTATCCCCACATGTAAGAAATAACTAGAGAAGCATAAGATGGGCAATAGTAGAAACATATGGTAAGGAGGGCAGCTCAGAAATGAAAAGCACTGATTGGTACTTATTGATTTATTCACTAAGATGTCAGTTGTTACATTTATTTATTTTTTTAAAAAAGTATATTTTTACATACTTTTTAATAGCAACATTCTCTACAGGAAACTGAACCCCCAAAAAAGTGAACTATCTACTGGCTGGCATTTTCCCTTGAACAAAGCAAATATATGTTCACACTACATGCTTTGCTCTCACAAAACTAATAAGGAAACTAACATTTTGGCACACTAAATGTAGATAAGACAAGCATATGCTGCATTTTCTATGTAATCAGTCCTTAACCACAGTTTGCTTTAAGTATCTCAACACCATTATGAAGGAAACCATGAGAAATCTGGGAGAGCTACAGAAAAGGTAAGCCAGTAATAAGCCTAAATCCACAAAATGACATATTAGTGAGTATACACAAACTATCTCAGAATGAAGAAACTGAATACAAATGTTTTGGGGTTTTTTGGGTTTTTTGGTTGGATTTTTTTTTTTTTAAAGAAGTCCCCAAAGGGATGAAGCATTATGGAAGAAATTCCTTAACACTCTGGAGGCAAAAATATAAAACCCACATGTAATACTGCAGCATTTCTATATGGAGGCCAAAAATCCCTTTTCAAATATTTTAATGACTGAACAGTTATCTAGCAATGATTCTCAACATCAGCATGATCAGCGATTTTAACTTAATAGTTTATAATGACACTCCTAATAGAAATACCAATATATTTTCATTTGAGTAACCATACTCTAAAACCCCTGCTATAGCAAGCAAATGCTCACCAAGCTGTGGTTATCCTGAAGGGAATTGTGAGTTATCTATGTGCATTTACATGGAATGAATTATGAACACAGAGTCAGCATTGTTAGAGTTACACCACTGTAGGGTGTTTTCAGAAGTATTTAGCCTTAGATGTAGAGAGATGTTGGCGTGAGCACACACAGGCAAGTCAGGGGCAGCACATAATCTTTAGATAATGAACAATTTTAACGTTTTATGGGACAGGATCTGTTGAGTTTCCCTCTGTTAAGGAGCTAATCCTTAAAACTTGCCCAATATGTGCATATGTAAGACAGATGAACTGAGTCATCCAGCATATCACAACGCAGCATGGATAAAAACATGGACCAGAATACAAACAAATACCATATCAAAAAACCCCCCCAAAATCGTCACCAAATCACATTGTCAATGTTTGGTATTTTAAGTGGTATCACACATAACATAGAGAAGGCTGAGAGAAGAAAAAGAAATTTTGTTTCTTCGCAGTAATATTTTTTTAAATAAATCACTGAGCTATCTCTGAATAGGGTAATTTTCTTGACAAATGATATTATAATTTCAGTGAACTGATATTCCAGATAAAGTCTCTTTCAGGTTAGGTTGTTATAGAGATAGCAAAGGAAAGGTGAAACAGAATGGATGACAGGAAAAAAAATCCAACAGAAAGTAAAGGGGGAAAGGAACAGAAACGTGTAGAAATGTAAAAATAAAAGACAAAAATCACAATTTCAAGGAAAAACATCACACAAACATCCAGAGTATAAGGTACACATTTTAGTTTCTGAGATCTTTCTTCATATACTTTTTAAGGGTTTCAGATCACTTTTCAGTGATTCTTCCTCATTAGAATCCCATTTTGAAGTTAGATTAAATAAATTCATAAGCGTAACGAAGTTTGAAACAGTTTCTGAACTCCTGAACTGCAATGGGTTACTAATCTTTATCCATAAATGGTGACTGAATTATGTTCTTGTCTCTTTTCAGCTGCCAAATCTTGAAGAACATTTATTGTTTCCTTTCTATTTCTCTAAGATAAACCAACTGCTACACATAAAACCATAAATGCAGCTAAAAATTGCTGTCCTCCAAACCAAACTGCAACAAATTTAAAAAAAGGATAGAAAACTGCTCTACCTTAATTATAACTAATATCAGCTGGTGTCATCTCAGTCCATAAGATGAATAGTTTATATTCCATAATATCAATATGATTAACTTTCATTTCAAAATAGCAAAAAAAAAATGCACTGAGATATCACGGTCATCATTAAAAGTTTAGATAAACCTGTAGGAAGCTCTTATATTCTAGCATTGAATGCATTCAACCAACAACAAAAAATAGCCCTGAACCCTGACAGACTTTCTCATTATTTTCCTATAGTTTGATGTTCCTATAGAAATCTTGTATATTCCTTCAAGGTTGATTTGTGTTTTGGAAGCAAAAAATAATTAAAGGTCATGCTTATTAAAAAGCAGCAAGAAGTCTAAACCCAAGAAAAACATACAAATATACTGCATTGAAAAAAAACCAAAAAACAAACCAACCCCACAACAATATGTAGAGAAAAAAAAATAATTTGTGTAACTTTAAAAAACCTGTCTCCCAGACTCCTATGTATGGAATTGTAACTACGATTTCTATCTTAATCAAAAATAATGAACCGTGTTAAGAAAAACACCAG